CCACCAGTTTCCTATTTTTATCACATCATGTTTAAGTCTGCAATTTCCTTCAGAAGATTGGGACAAAAATAGCCAAACTTTTCAAGTAAAAACTGAAAATTTACTCAAATTTTGTCAGCTGGCTTCAAAATTAGGGTTCATTTCTAGTAATATTGAAATATTAATGTGATTCTGATATCACATCCGTGCATGTATGTGTAGGAGGCTGGCCAAAACATGAATGTTTATGCAGCAAAATATCAGAAGCTGCTAAAAGCCTGTTATACACTCAGATTTACATACATACTAGTAAATAGAAAAACTTTGCAGAACAAATTATTTGTTAGACTTGGTAATTCAAGACTTTTTGCGATAATTATTTATCAGTTGTGAATGCAAGCTATGTTTCTCACATTACAACCATGTTCATTGATTGAAATATCACATGTGATTCATGAATAACCAATCACATTTGTCATTCCTGTATTGCAGAATAAGTCACTGTTCTGCCAAGCAATTTATATTAAAGCGAGAGAGTCGTCACGAGCAACGATAAAAGCACATGCTAAGAACGCAAAGAAAACTTGTTTGTAAACTATGACACGCTATGGCCATCTGATGCATGCATAGGTGACGACTCCCCCGCTTTAAAAAAAAGTAATGAAATAAGTGCACTTTGTACTAGTTTTCTGAAGATGCTAATGGTTACGATGTTTTTTTTTTTTTACAGGAGAGTGTTAATGTACATCTCTTACATCAACTCAGTTCATCTGCTGATGATGTGCCGGACTGCACACCAGTTATACACTGTGAACAAAGTAAGTGTGTATTAGTATATGAACATGTGAGAACATGATATTCCAGACAAAGTCTCTTACTACAGTTGAAAGAAGCTATGGAAATCCGTATTTTACATTTGTTGTTGTTTAACAAGTCATAACAATAAGAACACATCCAATGTAAATTTTGTCAAAAATATATACCGGTAGGCATCATTCGACTTGTTCTTAAGTTTCTAACTATTTGCTTTAAAAATAATTGGTAGTAATATACTATATACTATTATAATAATATATAATCTGGTAGTATACACACATATTAATTCATCCCTTTTCTCAATTATGCAGATGACTTCACCTATACAAGTATACCTTTAAATATTGATGTTGTTGTCATGACGACCAAAACCACTCCAGTTTCCCAGTTACCCAGGTTGTTTTCCAAGGGTATATCAAATCAGCTCATTGCAATGGAAGATTGTATGTTGACGTACTACCAGGTTTGTTATGATACTGTTTTCTGTAAAATTAACCTTTTCACCACCAATTCCCTCTTTTCATTACAAATTCACAAAATAGTCATGTTTATAGTCTGCACTTTACTTCAGAAGTTTGGGACAAAAATAGCCACATTTTTTTAGTAAAAACTGAAAATTGACTCAAATTCTGTCTGTTGGCTTCAAAATTAGGGTTCATTCCCAGAAATATTGAAGAATATGAGAAAAAAGTGCAGACAGATTTAGGCGAGAAATTCTGCTGGTGAGAAGGTTAATATATGGCTGGCTCAGTGTGAGTCACACTTATCAACCTCTCATTTCAAGTACATATATCGGTTTTCCTGTTGAACCAGCGTATTTGAGTATAAAATGAAATGTTTTTTAACAAAACAAACAAAAAAATCAAAAAACTATATATGGTTTATAAGTAGAAAGTGCAATTACATCAATGACAGGAGTCAATATTTATGGAATGTTATATTTGGAATGTACACCAAGTTTATGGTCAAAATATGTCAGATTTTTATAACCCATTATGCAACAGATTTTCTTCTATTGTATCATATTATAATAGTATCACATGCAATGACATACACTACAGAGGTATTTCTGTGATCAAAATGAATGATTCTCAGTGCTACTGTAAATGCATTAATTATTCACTGGGTTTTAATTTTGCTATTTTTGCTGTTAAGTAAATTACACTGAATCTAGGTGTAAAATAACAAAACTGATTGTTTCCTTGACAAATTTGTGATATTAAAATACAGTGAATATGCTCAAAACATCCAAATATTGAAATTACATGTCAGTGAAAATAAATGGTTTTACAGTATGACAGTTGCCATATTTAGGTTTACATGCACTTCAATTTGGAGATAGAACAAATATGAGGAAATATTATACACTGCTTCTGAACAACCAATGAGACCTTACTTTTTTTTTGTTTCATCAGATTGTATACATGTTGTAAACATCCCAAAATATAATTTTCTATTTCATAGAATGAAAAGTTTCACATTCCGGAGTCATATCACTTCAGTATTCCTGGTTTTCAACATCTTCTTAATGTTGTTTATCCAAGAGATAAATCAGAAGAAGAACTTGGTAATTATTATTATTGATATTGTTAGTTAATTGTACATCTAATTGTAATTGACAAATCATTTTACTTTTAATTACATTGTGTGAAGAACTCAAATTTAATTGGTGGGTAATTTGAGAACTACTAGTAGTACAACCCAAAAATGGAATTTTGTCACCATATTAATCCCATCTACTGAGAATTTAAGAACATTGTTCCGAACATTTCCAAATAATCTATCCCCTTTTGCTCAAGTTTTTACAAACAAGTGTGTGAGATAATAATGCTTCTTTAAAGTAGAATGCTACTCGCAAATTTGTTGCATGTGTGCATATTTATACGCATATAGCGGTAGCAATGTTTTGTGTCAAAATCTGTTTACAATTATTCAATTTAGTATTAGTCAACAATATATGAACAGTGTTTTTTGTTGAAAAATTAGTGAAAGAATACAAATGAAATGCCATTTTAGCAGTGGTTTCCAGAGACCACATTGACACATAATCTCATTAAAACCCCACTAAAAATATTGTCCATTAGTACCATATCAAAAAGTACTTTGTAAGACATTATATATCTTTTTTTCACCATATGTGACAAAGCAAAATTTAGAGATATTGAGTTATACTGGTATCCTTGTCATAGGAAACAATGATAAAATTATTCTAAAACAGACAAAACATGTATCACTTTGAGGTTATTACAAGGATATCCTCAAATAATGCATGAAGACATTACATCGTAAGTATCAACCGATGCGATGGCGTACTGTCTGAGTGCATACTTTGAGGTATCCTCGTAATAACCTTATTATTATACATCTTTTCTTCCCAAGGATACATCATTGGAATGCCAAAATCCAAAATGTTTAGAACAGGTTTAGCGAAATTCTTTGTGTGGAATCCGGTCAAACCCTCGTGGCAGCCATGTTTTTTTTTTATTATTAGAGGACGCTTACGTGCATACTCAATCCATATTTGGAATTCGCATTTCTTAATATGGTAGGATGAAAATACCCTGTAAAATACCGCAAAATTATGGCACGCTGTAACTGAATGGTGTTAGTATACACCATGCTTTTATTTTCTTTTGTAACATCTTATATCAAATATGTAAAAATATGTAAAATGAGAATTTATTAAAGTGATGCAACAAAACTCTTGTTATTATATTTTCAGAATCGCATCGTAGAAATCTTCACACTAAGCTTGTCATACCATTGGACAAACCATTATTACGGCGAACTAGAAGATACGTATTTACTGAGGAAAGAAACAAGGAAGGTTACCTAACAAACACACACATAGGACTACCACAGTCTGGAGGTATGAAATTGTCTACATACATGTCATTACCAATGTGTAATCCCAAATTCCCAAGATTTGATCAGCACTCTCGACTGAAGCTTGCTTGCAAAGTATAGTACAAAGATTGACGTGACTAATCCACTTTTGACCACAGACACATGAATCGATGAATTTCGCCGCAAACTAGTAGCCCTCTATACCAATATGATGTGCCGCTAGATTTGCTTTGATACAACTGTTGTGCTTATTCACTAGCGCATCTTTGATTCAACAGAAAATTGTTCATTTTCGGATTTTCGTGTCTCCAGTTCCATATACAGTCACATGAAACCATTTTATTTTTCTTGAAGACCTACCTCCCAAGCCATCACTACCGGTAAGCTGACTTGAATTTGGGGATTCCATTTTGACTCGGGTTCCCAAAAAAATCAGCTTTAGTTAGAGGGCAAACTGCTGCATATGTATATACACACTGTAGGTTGTTTTTCTTTCATAGATGCATTTGCAGTAAAATCCATCAATTCTAGTGTCTGTACTTTTAACATTGGAATTTCATGAAATGCTGCTAATATATCTCTTGTTGCTGAAACAAAATTTTTCCCACTTTTGCATCTTTCACAAAATTAGGAAACTCGCCAAAATGTTGTTGACAGTACCGGGGGTATTTGATAAACACTGGCCCCAATTTTCAGTAGAACTGATTTGATAGTTACAGTCTGTCAACTACTTCACTCATAAATATTGATGAAAAATCACCCAAGAGAAATAATAATAATATTTTCTTACAAGCTGTCAAAGACAAAAATCTGCAAACGAGGGGGATGGGGTAGGGGAGATGGGTATTTTATGTAAATGCACTCTATGCAAATTGGCTATGGTCTAAGGACTTAGATGTTTGTAAGATTAAATATATTCAAAAAAATAACATAGATGTTATTTTTTACATTTGTAGTTCAACCATGATTATGTTCACAAAAACCTAGTAAAATTAAATGAAAAATACAATAAAATAAAATTTCCTACCTACCCAGTATTTGTCTAGACTGTTACCGAAAACAACCAATTTGTTTTATTTGGCTTTATATGCAATTTAGTTCAAAAACAAGAATTATCGATTGACTTCCATGCATGCATGTATACATCATTTTATGAATGCATCCATCTATATCAAGTTGTATCTCACATATGCACATGTATTTGTTTCATGATCTGATTCTGATTTCGTTCAAGGCCAAAAATGTTTCATAATCACACATTTATACTATCGGTAATCTGGAACTCGACCTCAGTCACACAAAAACTGGTTCCGTTTAATCTCCGTACATATGTTGAACATAATGAGACCTTGATGCACTTTTATGAGTGTTGTTTCGTATTCATATATGCGACATGGTTGGACCCTTCAAGTTCGAATTTCACACATCGGACATCATATCGGACAAATGCAGATGCATTATTACCACCATCAAATCCAAAATATCTGACTGGCGGCCATCTTGTTTATACAAATGCAGTTTCACAGAGCCATACATGTCGTTCAGTAATCATGCAAATGTGTCTATTATACAAACAAGGACTATGTCATCATCGACAATGTCTGTTTTCTTATAGATGGACAGATGTACATAGTGAGTGGTGTGTATTCCTACCATCATTACATGCAGGATCGTATCGATGACAACGGATGGGGATGTGCTTATAGATCCTTACAGACGATATGCTCATGGTTTCGACATCAGGGTTATGTCGACAGACCGGTACCTACGCATAAGGAAATACAGCAGGTACGTATACACAACATAGTTGTAGTGTAGTTATCACATTGCCTACTGTTGCCATTTTTTCCCTTTCATTTCTGCTTTCCATGAAGGCTTTCAGCAGGCGTTGTGCATAGGTTTGTAGCAAAGGTTATAACTTTCATAAATCCATGTTTGGTATGCGATAAGTTGAAATTCCTATTTTGTCCCATGTACCCGTCAATCAAACTTGTTCAGACAAATAGTACTCTAAAATACTTATTTTAGCTGGAATAAATTTTCGCTGAAAAGACATTTTT